GTTCCGCCGTGAGTGTCGACAGACCGCATGAGGTCGGAATGCGGGAGATGACATCGAAAACCACGAAAATTGTCGCTATGGGGGAGGAGTGATAGCAGTGGAGGGTGCCAGCATGTGTTCACTACCTTCTTTGGATATGGTTAATTTAAAGATTCCTTTAGTCCAAGTAGAACCTCTTAACCACGTAATCGTCCAAAACTACGCAGAACTACGTAGCAGAACATGAGCCGAAGAAATACTAGATCAGTTGATATATGGAATCACAAGCAGCATTTCTGAAAAATTCATTAAACGAATTTAAAAAGTTTTTGGGGTAATAAGCTCTGAAACTGAGGAAAAAATAAAACGCAAGCATAATTTTGTACTGCGAAACATCCTAAATCACATATCTGCTATAGAGGGAGTGTATTTATTCCCGCAAAGTTGTGGTTTAGGTTTCACTGTCGCACAGGATAAACCAATACGCTTGCTCAACCGTAATAAATTAATACTAGTTATCCTTTTCTCCTTGATGGGAGTCGACTTCGTCTTTTCGAGGAAGGAGAAAACTAAAGACTTCTACCGTAAATGACAATGCCCGGTTTCGCAGGATCTCAGACCAATGCACTGAAGACTGAACTAATTGATATTGTCGAAAACCAACATCGACATAATGACACCTATTGTCAATTTGAATTATTCTAATTTAACATCACGTGTGGCCTCACCACGTCATGGCATAGTCAATTCCGTAGGAACTCCGACTAATCTTGGGGCTGAGCTTTTTAAACGCAACAACCCGCATAGTATAGAAACGCCCCTAACGACTCCCCCAGCAACCCCTAGCAAGCCTATGCATCTGCCTAAGTCAAGGGCTAATCCAACTGCGGCTTCAGCCACTCGGACATCGGGTAAATCCAGACCCATTATGAAATCTTTAACTCCTCAGTTGCCTGTCATTGCGTCAAGAACCACGACCCAAAACATAGTTTGTTTTCAACTAGCCCCAGACCTCGTATCGCGGCGTTTAGGCCGAATACGCCGACAATCCAGACTTAAAATAGATTTCCTGCCCCAATGGAAGCAATGTGTATCCCACTCCCATCAAGTTCCCACCACAGCCGTTTTGCCAATGCATTCCTTATGTTAATGTCCATAATGTGTCAGTTAGTTCACCCGTTCGTCAGTTTCGCTCCGGTGGGAATACGTTACAGTATCCGACCCGTGGATTTCAAGAAGGAAATCAGCCAGCTAACAATGGTAATCAGTTTCCGTGCCCGACATTTCCTCCCCCGAATCCTACACTTAATTCACGTCAGGGTCTTTTGATGCCACACAATATTTTGCAGAACTGTATAGGTGCATCCGGACCGCATGTTCTGTGGGCAGCCAACCACTGGACGACGTAACACACCTCCGTCAGAAACAATCTTTCCCCTTAAACTTTTGTTCTAAATGCCAGATCCTTTCTAAATGAGATGCCCTTGCTTCAGACTCTAGTGTTCGTCCATCGCTTAGATATTGCTTTACTAACTGAGACATGGGCATCAACTTCCATAGCTGATTCCAAAGTCTTTCTTCTAGGCTATACTTGCATACGAAATGAGCGTCAAGACAGTCGTGGTGGGGCATCTGCATCCACGTTAAGCAAACACTTACACTTCTGCTACTGGACCTCCCGCATTCTTCCGCGGTAGAAGGCGGCTGCTGGCTCCAGGTTACTGTTAAAAATAAGTTCTCTTTACTCGTTGGCTATGTCTACCGGTATCCCAACGTCAATGAGAACTTTGATCATTGTCTCTCACAGGCATTTCATACTGCGGTCGACTTAAGCTTTAAGTATCAATTGATCGCGGGTGACTATAATATTCCCGAAGTCCACAGGTCTCAGCCATCCAGCCCCAGAATGTTCGAAGATTTACTGGAGGTCGTGGATATTGGAATCTGGAGTTAGGTTGTCGATTTTTCCAACTGAGGATCAGGCATACTTGACGTAATTTTCTGTAGAGGTCGGAGGCCTTTGTCAGCCTCATCCGTAGGTCCACCCGGGGGCTCAGACCACGACATATTTGTTTCAGCGTTAGAACTGGAGGCTGACAATATTTTGGCTTCCGAGTATAGTTTCTTCGTCGATTACCGATCAGCTCGATTTGGGATGTTTTGAGCGGACTAAGAGATTGTCCGAATAAAAACAGCTGACCGAAAAGATCTAAAACATATTGTCCACCACTGGCGTAACAGTCACCGCGAGGTCTTTTTATTTCTTCCTCTGGCGCCTACCGTTAAATATTGTCGGTCCTTTTCTATGAGCGTAATTGCTATTTGGAATAAATTACCCGGAAGTGTGAAAAATTTGCATCTCGTCATTTCATGATTAGCAGTTTTTTGCCCCGAACTCTACAAACTATACACGAGCACCATTATCTTTATTTTCTTTAGGAGTTTATTTCACTGCCGGCCGGATTTGTGCTTAACCTTTCCCTGAAAGTGCCTGTAAACTGGCATTAAGTACAATTATTACTATTATTAGTGGGACGTATGTCGAACTGCGACTCAAAACGAAGGAGTAAGCAGACGGAGATGATCACCAGTAACCCTTGACGGAAGGTGTCTTTCAGATGTAACTGAACAAAAAGACCTTGCGATAGATATTTTGTCATCTCTAAAGACACCTCTTAATGCGTTGGGGTGGCTACAAGGGCAACTGGTGTTCACCTCGCAAATAGAAGAACTTTCATAGATATAGACAAAGAACTATTTGGAAAAGTATGCGGAACCTTCATTCGTTCGCAAATGGGATGTGGAATCCAAGTCCGACGTCCATGGCAGCTAAAAAATTATAAGGTGCTGCTGTGGGTCGAAGGAGGGCGGCTAAAATCGTGAAGGGTCTCAAGGCTTTATCTTACGAATGTAGACTTGGTTAGCTTGACTTTTCCTTCTTGACTACATGCAGATCTGAAAAGCTCTTATACAGACTTACTGAATTTTGAGGAATCTGGTGTGTGCCCTGCACCTCGATGATTTCTTCGCCTTGGCCACAACAAAAAACTTGCGTAAGAACCTCCTTAAGTCTTGTGATTCACGATTTCATCTGGATGTACGTAGGTACTCGTTTTCGCGGCGAGTTGTCGGTGCCTGGGACGGGTTTCCCGAGGAAGTTATAGTTGCGGACTCCATAAAGGCGTTTAAACAAAGACTGGATTTATATGTAGTTGAAAAATACCGCTTAATTGTGGAAAACAGCTTTATTATGCCATACCAACGCCTACCGCTAATGCGGATGATTGTCGTTCAATTTTACCACAATCGTGCACAAATGAGTGTTCCCGGGTTTCAATACCGCAAGTTCAACGACGGTAGCCTGTAAAATGTATATGTTACTGACGTAATTTCCACAACATCCTTATTCAACACTTAATTATGTATGCACCGCTTTCAAAGGGTTCTTTAAATTGATTGTCTATCATCCTAAGCTATATTGAACTAAAAGTCATAGGTCTCAGCTATACCAATACACTTGACTTAACCTCTGTGTTAGATAAATTCCCCTGAAAGTGTTGATGTCCAACAATTTGACCGGCAGACGCCTCCTGGTCGTCATAGCAACTCCCACAGAACTGAAGCTTCTCCACTACCTCGATCGACCAAAGCTAATCCTCATACCGAACTGTCCCCGCTACAGGATCCCCATTTTTTCTGAACTTCCTTCCGTACCCTCCTTCCAGTATAAATATCCCCACTCTTCCCCTAGGATAACGTCTTCCTTCTTCATTGAGCCCCGATAGTTTTGATTATAAAGGGAATCTAGGAGTAGCACTCTCGGGTTCGCATCATAACTATAAAGCTAAAGAAACGACCGGCCAGTCGAACTGGGCCACAGTCCCCACCAGCTCAATTCAATCCAGCCCTTAGGATGGGGACATGTGTTAGCAGGACCATTCACTGGAATTAGATCTCCAATCTGTGTTTTTGAAGTCCACCTGATTTTAACAGATTCTGGATCAGTAACACGAAGATATCGTGGTCTAAACTATTTTTAGTACGCGGGTACGATAAATGCCACGGAACAGGTAGAGACAGGTGGAGGATAAGCTGGAATTTTGTTTGTCAGCGAAGTTCGAAAAAATTGTAAATGGTAGACTGAGTGTCGGCATAAGAAACAAGTGGCGGCTTAGCAAAATATATGAGAGATTCCTTGTTTGCAGGATAATGGGAATGCCCACCCTCCGTCGAGTATTATCCGCGCAAATAAGTCTGTAGGCTTCTGACAAGGGAAATTAGACTTAGTTTCTAGCGGTCAAAATTGACAATTAATTCAAGAAAAGGCTAATTAAAAAGTTGTTTGTGGAGCGACTTATTCATAGTGTCGTTATAGCACTGACTTGCCGAAATGACCATAGGAAGGTTTTGACACATTCTTCTAAATACAATTCAAGTACTTGTGAGTACAAGGCCTCTGAAGCTCAAGGTTATGCAAATTTAACCTCTCCAGATTAAGTATGAAACTGTAGAAATGAACAGTACAACAAAATATTATTCCTAGTTGCCGGTAAAGGAACTGTCAATTTATGTAACTGACTGAAAAAAAGGTTCAAACACAAACGCCTTCACTTATGTCTCGCAGACCATGCACGTGCCTTGTGTTCAAGATGTGAATAGGTACAATACTGAAGACGAGTTTCAAGGCACTGTGTGCTACTGAAGATTTTCGAATTTAATTCATATGGGCAAGTCACTGTAATTTATAATCATTTATCCTTTCGACCAGCGTGCTCCTCCGTCTGCTTGTTGTTCGAGGAATGCTTTTTCCGGCTACATCACGTTTTGTACGCTAAGTCCGCCTCGGTCGTCTGTTAAGTTCTTTTCGATATTGGAAGGTGTTGCTGAGAAACAACTGAATGAGGCGAATGCTCGATGATACTGTATAACTTGTGCTACAATAACATCCGATTTGTGCGTTCAGTTAAGGACTGTGATTCGCAGCTCAACATTCGAATTGCAGTGTGCCTATATGCCCACAAATGTCGTTGTCTGCTTTGTTGTCTGCGGCTTTCCTGCCGCTTGTATGTGGATTCTACGTTCCAGGCTTTTCACCGAATGAATATAAAATAGTTGACGACGTACCGGTCAGGGTTAGTGTTTGTTTTTCAGTTAATCCCGTTGCTCAGGCGGTCAAGCTTGCCAGTCCGAAGACCCAACTGCCGTATGATTATTACCATTTGCATTATTGCAAACCGGAAAACGGGGACTTCGAATACGATTCCGTTAATTTCGGTATTCTATTTTACTCTTTTCGAATATCTTCAGGGGAAATCATTCATGGCGATCGAATTGTTACAACTGCTTATAAACTCCAAATGAAGACCGATGTTTCTTGTCGGCTCGCATGTCAGCCAGAAAATCTTTTATCGTCAGAAGTCGATCAGTTTATCTATCTTATAAGCAACAAATATTCTGTGCACATGTAGGCTGTTATTTTTCTATTTATAAATTAATTTAGGACTGTGGACGACCTACCCATTTCCCGCGAAAAAATATCAACTGGTGATGCTGTGTATGAATTGGGCTACCGAATCGGTGATATAGACGAAAACGCAGCAAGGCTTAATAATCATTTGAAATTTCGTGTTAAATACCACAGAGTCAAGTTAGCTCCCCATTTCTTAATTGACTTTAAATAGTGATAAATATCGTGTTGTGGGTGTTACTGTTTTGCCTTTGAGCCTCGACAGTGACTCAGTCATTCGACAGCCAGACGGAACGTGTCAAATAAAAAGCTCTGGGATAAATCCCCAAATTTTGAAGTTAGGAGAACCAGCAAAAGTGGCCTTCTCTTACGAAGTTATTTGGGAAGAGTCTGACATCGAATGGACATCCAGATGGGACATATATTTAAGCACGGGTGATGGACAAATCCATTGGTTTTCAATAATCAATTCCCTCATTATAATAATATTCCTCACAGGTACATTTTCAAAGTGTGTTAAACCCACGTCTTTAGGTGTGATGGCCGCTATTCTTCTTCGAACCTTACGGAGAGATATTTCGCTTTACAACCGCGAGGAAGATTCCGTATATTTCTCATTCTTAATCTTTTGTTGCGCATTTGTTAACGAGTTTATAGACTTCAACTTAACTCTTCGTCGGCATTGATCTTAATTTCTTCCTATAGGAAAAGAAATGTTTATCCAGTTTCCTTATATACCCTTACACTAGCAGAGACTTTGTCACTCGCGTACAGCCGCTTAATCTAGGAGTTATCATCAGATGCCTTTTAAGCACAAACAAATTTTAGCTGGTCGGCCTCTGGGTTCCCTGTGTTTTTTCACATTGATTGTTAGGATTTGTGAAAATTTAATGGAACAGTTTCCAAAACAGTCTTCGTCTACCTTGTTTTAATTCCCTCGCATACTTACTTGCACTTGGTACACCTGTGATCCTGCGTGATCTAACCGCCCTCGTTGATGTCGCGTATTATATCTCTCCGCGCATGAGGATTTGCGGTGGCGGGTCTGGACAGCTCGACCCATCATCTTCAGTGACGGAGGCGAACGCCGAAGGTTCAATAGCCACTTCCGTGCTTTGGACTGTGTTGAGCCATGTTTTGAGTTTACTTCCTCATCGACGCCTCCAGGTGGGCATCGGCGCCGGATAGGGAAGAGCAAGACTGAACTTGTGAGATGGACAAAGGACGTATTCAAACCACTTCAGTCGTCTTTATTTGATGACCAGAGATATCTTTACGATGTGCCAGCGAGTTTAGACTGTCTCATTTGAGACGAATTCGGTGCACTTCACTCAAAGCTTGGTCCTCAGATAGTGGCAAACAAATTCCTTTACGTTTCGCTAATCTTCCACGCGCACAGTCCATCATTCAAATCCCTGAAGTATGACTGGACGGATGCGCGGTACGCGCGGACCGTTTTGTCGATGGAGACATTGCGTAGGGTTCGTAGATGGTTTCAAAGGATTTTGAAGACTGCAAACAGCATTGATTCATAAGACAATGTCATCTATACGTTGTTTATTCCGCAGCGGTCTCGATCCGAGGTATTTGAAACTCTACTTCAAGTTGACAGCCACTAATCCTGAGGGGTGTATTCGCCTGCTCAGGGATGCGTTCATGGGTAAACCGATGTAATTTGCGACTTCATCCACCCATGATACTCCAGACTGTAGATCACCAAAACTTGAGGCCAACGAGGCGATATCATCAGCGTAGTCCGGATCGGTCAGTCGGCGTCCGGGTGCAAACTCAGCACCGTCAAAACCATGTAGGGCTCCTCCGAAAATCCAGTCACTGGCGTAGTTGAACGGAATTGACGACACAATACAACCTTTTCGAGCTCGACATTGGACCTTGAACGGTTGGCGGGTTGTTTTAGGCCAAAACTCGCGCAGTGGGGGAGCATTAGTAGGTCATGATCACGGCGATTATCTTAGCCTGCGTAACAATTACTTCCATCATCTGTGACAGCGGCTCACGATTAGCCGAACCGAACGCTGCGGCGAAGTCAACAAAGCAGACGGCTGTCGGTTGATGATAGCCATGACGAAATTTAGGAATGCATCTCAGTATGAATATATAGTTCGCAACTCCACATCCAGCTTGAAATCCGGCTTTATTGGACCTCCTAGAATCACACACAGCCTAAAATCGCATGTGAAGTTCAACATCAAAGACCTTCGCAGTAACCTCGATAAGGCCCATACCGCAGTATTTCACACATTGTCATATCTCCTTCCTTGAAAACAGAAAAGGCGCTCAAACCTCCGTCATCAGAAAAGACCTCATCTCCCCATGCTTGATCTATCACCTCATGGACCATCATAGCTTATTTTCTCTTGCATCTTCAATTTGAATTCAAGCAGTTCGACTATTAAATTTCCGACTTCACTCTGTATGCTTCAGATGGATTGAAAAGGCGGAGCCGAATTCTCAGAAAACTTTTTTCGTGACCTTGTTAAACTCGACTGTCTTTGTAGCTTTATTCCGATTAGGGAACGTTTGGCTGTGAACTTTTGATTAATATGCACTGTTAGTGAGCCAGGAGAGACTTGGATTTATGTGGTCTGTCGAATTACTGAGATGTTATAAATTCATTCAAAAATTATATGCGGTCTACTTTTGTCTCCTAAAATACGAGTGTTTGAGTATTAGAAGGGTTCCTTTGTGACTTTACATGAACGATTTGCCGCATTCCAGCTTTATTGTTTTCGTCCTTTCCTCCGTGTTTAAGGAAGAAATTATTGAAGAATCCGGGTGGAAACTTGTACACGGTGACGTTTTTCGACCGCCGAGACGAAGTGCTCTACTTGCTGCATTCATTGGATCAGGCGTTCAGCTGCTCTGCATGGCATTTATTGTATTGTGTAAGCACCAATCTTCTATTCCTACGCCGAATTTTCTTTGACTTTAAAATGTTTCTCTTTCAGTGCGGCTAATCCACTTCACATCGAGTAGGTCTTCATGACTCACTTTTTTGCACATAGACAATCATTCTTACCCTTTTCCAGTGGCCTGGACTTACCGTTCACCATAATCGTCACAACGCTTCGATGTGGTCGACTGATAAGCTAAATTTCATGGCTTCGTGCCATATTTATGACCGTATTTTTCGCTTCGCAAGTCAAAGTTCTTGGTCAGGGCACAGCCTGTGATGCTATTTTACATTAGTATATGTAGTCCTTCAAAATTCTTATTTAAACCATCGCTTTGGGAGAAGTGCTCACTTTAGAGACCTAACCGGAGTATCGCGCTTTTAAAACTGACTTATAAAGCCTCCGTCACAGCCTATAAAGCATTCTGTTACTTGTTCTCAGTGTTAGATCGTGTCGCAAAGCGAGACCGGACTTCTATGCTCAGGGCCTTGAGTTTGCTGAATTGTCAAAGTTTCGCGACATCAAGGCGCCTCGCACATTACAGTTTTAGTGCAGTTGGGAGGCGAATTTTCAGGTGTGAGGACGATAATGGTCCTATCCGTAGGCCCTAGGAGCCCCGACCCCACGCATGAATCTGTTATTAGTGAACCCGGCTGCGAAATTTTGAGCCGATTAGAATGTAGTTTATTTAACCGACCATACGACCGTCGTTTGAATACCAAGTCTGAAGATGCTTGTGGCAATGCTGGAAACACCTGTTGGTGACAAACAATAGGTTCCGATCAGAAAGGTTTGGAACTTTCATCGTTGCCACACATAAAGGCCGGACCCAGAGCGGCCAATAAGGTGACCGTTTGAAGGGTCACTGGGTCCAGTCCGACCATCCCGGTCCCCGGAAAGAATCAGCAGATCACCGCCATGTTTTCTCTCAACTTACCCTTACAACAGCCAGCAGGTTTCTTTGTCGAACTGGTCGACATCTGATATTTGTACGTACATGTAGACGGCAGTGTTCGTGATGTAAACCTTCAGTTGTACATAAGCTCTATGGCTGCTGGTCCCCACTCAAGCAGTGTCTAGATGGCTTTCACTATAAGCGCGACCGCCACGCCGTCTTTGGGGGAAAAGTTACGTGAACTGCTGTGTTACAGGGAGTTGACTCCCGAGCTCATCACTTTCCGAACCCATGGGCTGGAGGAATCAGACTTCACACAGGCCAAATACACCCATGTTGTACTGATAAAGACTGCGGGCTATCAGACTTTGAGTAGCAGGTTCTAGGAACGTTAGCATATTCCAGCATATAATACCGCAGTTCTATTTTAGTTTGCGTAGCTCATATCGGATACTGCCCACGCGCGCTTGGGCCCCCATGGTCGTCGTGTATGGATCGTAGTACTCTAATCGGACATTTTCATGAGGTTTCTTGGAAACTTTGAGTGCAGCGGGTTCCCAACAGGCGCCCGGATTGTTTGCTCGAGGTTGTCTCCGCTAGCGCTCTGACTTACGAACCTGCCCGCAAGGCAGCGATGGCAAGCAAACTTATTTAACGGCTATTCACGGTGTTCATCGCAGTGCCGTCATCGGGCCTTGCGGCATTTGATGCGGCAGTCAGCGTGCCAGATCCTTACTCACCGCGCCCTGGTAGCATTATCACTGCGGGTCTGCCGCTGTTTATCCGCGCGTCTCGATAGTTTCGCAACTAATTCTTGCTGAAGACTGTTTGACCATCCACCACCTGTGTACGCGCCAGCTAGCTAGGAGGTAAGCTAACAGGGAACCCGTCCTGCTTAGTTTTCCTGTGTGGTCGTGAATATTGTATTGGACGACTAGAAAAAGAGCATAAGCCGAAGGTCTTGATTACCTTCACTTGAAACCAACTCTTAGAGTGGTGTACACATGCATCGTTTCGACTGAAAGCGCTCGCTTTCGCTACAACAGCCACGCTAGCATACTCCGGGGAATTCATGAACAACGTCAAGGACAGTCATGCTATTAGTCTCGAGTCCCGTGCGTTTAATTCTACTGCCCAAAATCCAGCGCTGCCGCTTATTTTGAGGCGCTGTAACGGCCTCAACCCATAACGTTGTTTGACACAGTCAAGATATTGAGGTGGTTCCTGAACTCGCGCTATTCGGTCTCTATCATCGGAGAAGAAAGTGGATCGAGCTCACTCAGTCTGTTACCGCACATCTTTGCTCATGGAGAAACACCATCCGCATCATATACGGGGGGGGGGGGGGCGGCCTGATCACAGCCGAGTCAACTACAAATCAGTGTGTGCTTATTTTGTAACCTGTACGCAACTGGTTGTAGTACTCAGCTGGCCTGAGGTGACGTTGCCGCTTTCCGAACCACTGAAACGATACTAACGTAAGGTGCTTTCTTTGCACGCCTATTCAAACCTTCCGTCCTCATTCTAAGTTGGACACATTAATGCCAGAGATAGGCAAAAAGCCCCACTGTCTTTTTCATTCTAGCCACTGACATATTTTCTTCGGCTGACGATGCTCCCCGTCGGAGCACGAGGAGAGTTCCACAAGAACTCCTAAGCGGGTCTTGGCTTTAAAAGCTTCACAATTAGTAATGACAGTAGATCACGTAATATATTATATGCGAAGAAATGTGCGTAATTGCATGGAAGTAGGATATGGTCTCACATATAAACCCTAATTTTACCATACTCTATGGAATTAGGTTATGAAAGAGGAAGGAGGCACCAGATACACTTTTTTGTCTGAGCTTTCAAGCCCGTGTACGAGTCCTTCGTTAGAGATATAACAGCAATCAAATTATAGGTGTAGCAGCCCCACCTATAATTTGGGACAATGAATCTACCCAAATCGCACGTTTTTCCAAGACGGTTTGATCACTTTACTCTGATCAGCCTCCCAATTCATTTTTAATCGGACGAAATCATGGTCTCTTTCAACGTGACTTCATCATTCACATTCAACTCACCGACTTTGGCGCAGGAAAGTGGAGGAGGCACACGATGAAATTGAGCTCGCTCAAAGTTAAGAATATCGTGAGGCTGTTTGTACTCTCCAGAAAGCTTACCCCACCTTTGTTGAAGAGACCTATGACCAGATCAAGGCGACTCCAATGGACCCTTCAATCTCCGGTTTATTGAAAGAACCGGTCCTACAAGTGGTAGAACTGCCTTCATGCAGCAGAAGGCAATGCTTTGGCGCTGTTACGTCGACAAAACATTTGTTGGGGATTTCTGAGGAAATTAAAACCCTACAAGAAGCAAGACAAGCTGAGAATTGATTGAAGCCCGGGTCTCGAATGAGAACTCAATCAGTCGACTTATCAATTTGGCGTCGGCATTCGGGACCCTCCCTGCAGAGACACTTTTACACCTGTGTTACTGATTGTTGACCGACATACATCCCTGTAACTGTCACCTGTTCTGTTTCTGCTTCATCTCCGACGGTGGATCCCTACACGAGTTTGAAAGCTCCGACTAATAAACAAATGGTTCCGGCGTTGTACCAGTCTTGTTTTCTCATGCAGACACCTGGGACTCAGACATGTGTCTACTTTCGTGAGATTAGATGAAAATGCACTGGGTAAGATTTGAGTGCATTTAGATCACAATAGATTGTAAAAAGACATAGTAGAGTCGACAGAGCTAGAATTGGTTTATGTAAATCAACATTGCCTGATTTAAGTAGTTGTTTTTACTCGGCCATAGGAAGACAAAACAGTCAGCACCCTTCTCACCAATTGATTTTTGAGTTGTTTATTTTAGGGCGGAAGGGCACATTGCGTCGGGTTCGTCATTTTTCGGTTTATGTCATTCTCCGACAAAAACGGCTTTCAGTGTTGCTTGCACAATTAGAATCCAGTTCTTTACCTTGCACACATGTGCCTTATGTGGTTACTTTTAGAGGGCGCGTGTTCCAGCATCTGCGCGACAACAGTATTAGCATATTTGTTTCTGCTCTCAGAGTGACCCATCAGTCTTCAGATATAAAATTATTTTTATGGGCTTTAGTATATTGGCGTTTGAAAGAGAAAACAGGCAAAGTACAGGCGTTTTTGAAACTGGACCTTTCTGGGTTACTTGTCAAGTTTAAGTCCTGTGTTCCGAAATGCGGTTCGATATGATTTCCATGGCGATGCTTGTTAAATAACGCGATTTGGAAAATAACTTATTGGACCGATCTGCGCCCGTCACTACAAACAAAATCATTATAAGAAGTAGATGGGTTAAGAATTAAACCAGCACATATTCGTAGGTAGGGTTGACTTTCTTTTGCAAAAGTAAGAAGAATGAGTTAGATGCGTGGTTGCCGAATTTCGAGTTGCTGCTGGCCAGACTAAGAGTACCATGGCGACGTCCCGGCAGACAGCTGTTAGTCTGTAAATGCATTCAAATGAAATGCGAGTGAACAAAGCCAAATCCCGTAAATTTGTTGTACCGGCTGTTTTCAGCTGGTTCTAGGTCCTCCTGGCGAATAAAACCCGTCGCTTCTCGAGGATATTTTCGCCGTCTCACTTATAATTGGGATTACACATCTCAAGAAACCCTCAATGCCTTTTCTCCCGGTTTCTAGACCCTCAACGGCTATATGAGTTTGAACCCCAAACAGACTCCAGCTGCGTTACCCAAAACAACTTAGTCGTCGCTCATGTCCCTTTGCTCTACCACATCTGTTGCTTGGTGCCATTTTTGAGTCTTGGTGGCTTTGCGCATAGTGACTTCCCGAATGTGCTATTTCTCTGTCGGCAGTACGCGCATGCCGCCATTGTCCTAGGAGCACTGAGCGTGGAAGTAGACAATGGGTGGCACCCCTGCGCGCACACCACACCTTCCGGTGTCGCGTCTTGCATGACAGGTTGGCGCTCAGACACTAAAATTACGGTAGGTAGACTAACTCATGAAATGCCAACTGAAATTCCGAAATGCGTTTTCGTCTCGAAAATATGATTTAAGTAGGGTTGTAGAACTAATCATCGTGCAGCGTAATTCTATAATAATTTAGCTATCTCAGGATGTCGGCTTTTGAACGGGCGTCTTTTCGACTGCATGCAAAAACTATACTCTGTAAAGGAGGACTACTTGAGTAGCGTGCATTTTTATCACTGATTTTAAATGCCCTCGAAAATTCAATTATATTTCATGGGAAACATACATAAAGATATTCATTCATTTGCTCATTCGGTAGAAAATTACGTCTTCTTCCAATTTTATACTCGAAGGAAGGGTATAGTTCGATTTGAAATTTTTTTTCCAATTTCCGAATAATTTTGAACCTGGCCGGCCGTTACACTCGCACCCAGGATTTCCTGACTACAGGCCGTATATTTTCCGCGTGCGGAAAACCATACGTTTCTTCACTGTATTAAGAGGGGACTATATGGGGTTCACAAAATTTTGCTGTGGATTTGAGCGATATTGTTAACTTTACAAGCCACATTGGTAAGTGCAGACGACGTTTTATGAACGGCCATCCCACGGTGTTATAAAATCTCATAAAGAAAAACTTTCCTGGAACTAAATTAGACCCTTCCCTCGAGTATAAAATCGGAAGAAGACCTAATTTTGTACTGAATGAGCAAAAGAATGAATATTTTTATGCATGTTTTCCATGAAATATAATTGAATTTTCAACGGCGTCCAACACCAATGAGAAGAGTGCAGGCTACTTAAGTTGTCATTTTTCGCAGACTGTGTTTTTGTATGCAGCCGGGAAGATGTTTGTTCGAAAGCCGGCATCCTGAGGTAACTGAATCATAGAATTATGTTGCACAATGGTTAGTTTTGCAATCCTGCTTAATTAATCTGTTCGAAGCGAAAAAGCATTTCGGAATTTCGGTTGACACTTCATGAGTTAGCCCACCTACTGTAGATGCTTTTGAGTGTCCATCTCAGCCGTTGTTCACAACGTTATTTCATTTATAGCCATAGGACTTTGTGGCCCTAGGTAGAATTATGGCTGCCTGTCGAAAACAGGTAAGCCGGAAATAGCTGTTACGTTCCCCCAGTGGATAATACCGTTGGAAAGTTAATTATGTAAAAATTGCGAAATATATCAAGTGCCTGACGTCTTACTAGTCATCCGAACTAGCTTCCAAGAATGAGAGACTGCGTGTAGATTCATTTGATGCTATGGTATTTTATAGTGAACCGGTGCCCTCGTTGACACCACGAATGGACATTTGAGTCTTTCCGACTTTCTGTGCACCCATGGTTCACGGTAGCTCAGACCATCTCGAGCGGGGTCTGTCTGCCCATTGCTCGATCAATAAACTCCCTGATCCCTATCATGGATTACTTGTAACCGGCCTTTTACATATTGTATACGTCTGACAATTTCCCATTTCTCCTTATGCCTTCCAGTCTTTGCCATGCTTGGAATGCTTTCACCAGCTTCGCGGGGTGCGCTTCTTAGTGCGGGCATCTTCACCTACGTGTTTTGCGGTGCCCTAGCCGGATACTTTGCAGGACGCATCTACAAAACGATGCGCGGTTTCTTCTGGAAATCCACAGCTCTCTTGGTTTGTTTCCTAATCTTCCTTCACCTCACTGGTCCAATTCTTTCACCTTTTCCCAGTCATTGGCTAGTTTTCATCGCTCCCCTCCGACAGTTCTGCCCATTCGCCTGGTGTTTTCTAAATTATTCTTGATCCCAGTAGCCCACTGTAGATCGTACGTTTGTTCAGGTAATAGATTCGTTTACCGAGTTCAGTCACCGGACATTTGAACTAGTCGCACTGGGGGTAATAATTCTCTCCTTTTTCGATCTAACGTTCCGAATCTCAAATATTATTGACATTTGTCGACGCTGACTGTGTTGTCTGTTTGAGCACGTGTGCTTGCAGCTTGAGAGCCGACGGCGACCACTACTGACCCGGGGGGGGGGACATTGATGACGTGCGTGGATTGAAGTATGGCGAGAGGGGAAGGAAGATTTGCGCAATAACGACCTCATAGTGTTCTATCGATGTGCTTGTGTAAAAACAACCGGGGATGAGTTTGTACGTTTGAACTGACCAAGTAGTCGTCCGGTTTTGTATTCCATGCGTGCTGCCATCTCATTGAGCACCTTCCAGACGACAACTGAAGTTTACTCTTGTTAGGTCTTCATTGTTCTTTGAGTCAGCAGCTGATTTTATGAATGATTACGTTGGACCCAAATATGACCAAACAAATGTCGCGCGGGGGTTTTGTGCCGGTCAGCCACTGCTCCCCGTTTCATGTACAGTCGGTTCAACTTGGACTTTTCACTGGTACGTGGTGACAGCCGTATCCTGCTTTGACATGCGATTCTGCACTTACTTTTCCGGCAGTGGCCTATTACCTCCCACTCAGGATTAAGGGTCTGGTCGTAGTGGCACCCTACTTTGGCACCTGTGACACTTTTCGTGCGTAAGAATTCCAAGCCTGAGTGTGGCACACGGTAGACGGCGGCTTCGTGTCAGGTCAGCCTCTACGCCTAAACTCATATCTGGTGCCATAAACCTTTCCATTATATATAACGCTGCGCATGAGAAGAGTGAGGTAGACGCGGTGAAAGTGTGGTCCAACTCACGTGTAGGTCACTAGTGCTCCCCACCTCAAGGGTGTCCACACTGTTGCCATCAAAGAACAAACTATCGTATGGATGGCAGCGCTCTTGTACCTATGCAGAGACTTACCTGCTGTGCATTTAGATCAGTGGAATGTGTTTTTCACCGTGGTTCACTCCGGTACATGCCTTGCTTGTGCAAGTATTTTCGACAGTTCGACCTTACTGGCACTTTTCCAAACTGGCTGAGAGAATACTTAGAGTTCAGACTCGTCGCCGTGGTGTTTAATTAAAACTGAAGTCGCGCTGGCTAATGGAGCGCGTTAATGAGGCTGCACTGGGTCCGCATGCATCCTCACTTAAACCATGCATGTATGTGACGCGTTAGACGGCGGCCCACGTCGGCCGCTGTCATCTATTTGAATGTGTTGTTATTTATTTGGACTACGTTTAGCCATCTCAGTACCACAGTTATGGCCGAGATCCACTTAAAACACCGGGAGTTAATGTTGATTATTCTCATAGAAGGTCGTTCAGGCTAAAAAATTGAAACATAAGTTACGCCACTCAAATAGCTAGACAGTTCGATTCAGCTGACAGCTTTTGTGTATCGGGTTGCCGTCTCTCACTGACAGATTACGGTTCACGTAGTTTTCTATACTCTTAGGACTGAGTAAAGTAACTCAGGGTCTTGCGTAAGTACTGTTCTGCGTGGCTCGTGGACGACTTTGCAGGTTTATAATTAAATTAGCCCGACTACTGTTCCAACGCGCCTTTCAACTTTCCTCTTTAGACTGGCTCACTCTACCCTGGTCTTCTTTTGAGTGGCGGCCTCATCATTAACTTCTTCCTGTGGGGCAAGGGCTCCTCTGCCGGCCTGCCATTCACAACCATTCTGAGCATCCTCAGCCTCTGGCTCCTCGTCTCCCTGCCACTCGTCTTCTGTGGGTTCTTCTTTGGCTTCCGCAAACGACCCTATGAACAGCCCGTGCGCACCAATCAGATTCCGCGGGCTATCCCCGAACGCAAGTTACACCAGAGCCTCATTGTTACGTGAGTGTTCACGTTTCGTGCTACTTTGGCGGTGCCTTCACCGATTCTGCTTAATCGTGTATATTATTGGCAGCAAAGGAGTTCACTGGTGAGGGTCTTGTCCTTGTCAACATTGTGTGCCCGCCTTGGCCTATCGGGCCTTTCGATGTAGTTGAAGTTGAGATCCTTTCAAATCTTGCTCGGGGCAGCCTGATGTTTCGCCCAAGCTACTGGTTGCTTTCTACATCATTGACTATCTGATCGTACCACCACTGTCGCCACGCTAATATCCCATACCTCTTACCCTTCATTCTTCTTCATCTTCTGCAGTTGCTGCTCCTTATCCACCCCCTCCCACCCATAATCCGACGTCTCCGTCTTGATTCCAGGCAGCGCTGAAAACAACATTTATGATCCAAGCCAAGACTGCCATGTTTAGAGTTGACCCTCGACATTCACGAAGTGGTTAGTAAAATACCCTAATTGGACTAAGAAGAGATAGAAAATGATGTTTATTCGTGTAACAGCGAAAGACTATGAGGCGATAATGATAATCAGATGAAAGACGCCAACGCGAATCACAACTGAAAATTTCCGAATTCACTGACAATCCTGGATTTCCATAGAACGTGTGGTTTCCAAATCCATATCGGTCTTTAAGCGAGTGCTCGGCCCGCAAGATATATATAACAAGAAAACCACATACAGTGACGGTTCCTAATTGCCTTGCCTCCGTGTCGTCACCAGACTCCGCATCATTTGATAGGGTAGTTTTTTTTACCAGACCTCACACCTTCCCGTCATAGTTGCACTGCTGCTGATGAACCGCGACAAGTTACTAATCAGCCCCAAGTGCCGCTCCTCCATCATCCACCTTGTGACCGCCTTGATAGCCGAAAGCTAGGACAACGGACCGGCCCAACTTGCCATCCCGACGAGCTCGACTGTGCTCGAGACTGCTGCTAATCAACTCTAGTAGACAACCTTCGTTCATTATTCAGCTCACCTGCATTAGGTTGACTGGATCAGTCATAAATGTCGTCTCAAACACAACAGGTGCCGGGGAGCTAACTTAAGGGTTTTCTCTAATTGTTGATCGATATAAATTCGTGCAATGCTGTAGGGGAGGAAGATGATATCGCTTATTGCACAGCGAATTCGGCTCCATCCTCTTCGTACTGTTGCTCAAGTTTTCTTTTCCTGCTTAATGCTTGTCAGCATCTAACTGACTGAAATTTTATTACTCCAGTCTGTCTTCATGAAAGTGACCTCACCGTGTCTTGAAATCCCAGTGCATGTGAACATGGGGCATGGGACCAATATACCGGCATACCAGTTTACATAATATACTGCATAACAGATGGACATATCAGAAGGAAGGCAGATTCAGACAGTCGTTCTGTGGCCGTCAATACCCTCGAACCTTCAGTATGAATGCTTCACTTTTGTCTTCCGTTATCACCGACCTTTGACCCTACCTTCGTGGCCAAGGTATTGGATGTGCCTTCAGCGCCATGATCGTCAGGCCAGGTCCCGAAGTTACCAGAATAAGGGGTTAATTCTATACGGAACCCTGAGTTTTTGCCTCAGGAACCATTTGCCGCTAGCCTGTGCTGCCAATGTTGTGGGTTTGCAACTCAGATGACAGAGCATTTGACTCGAAACCTTTCGATAGTTAGCTGACACGTGTTCAAAGCCCAGGTATCCGGCTTGAGGTTCGGTTGGGGGGCTGATGATGGCAAATCTAAAAATTGACTCTCCATCGTCCCTTGTTTTGTCCATAGCATTTCTCAAGAGGTAGTGTGCGCCAGAACTCAGGTAGAATTCACCGAACTCAGCCAATGTGCTTTGAACTAGGAAATCCTACTCAAAAAGGTCTGCAATACTGACCAGCATTGGATGGATTTCCGCGGCTATTTACATACAAGAGAATGCAGTAAACTGAACATTCTGCTGGTTGTTCACCGCCACGCACGGTTTTCGTCCTTTTGCAAATGCTTTTTGGTACCCTCCTTTCTGCCAACTCCGTGTAATATCATAATAATCGTACTTATTTCCGTTTCCCAACAGGACGGCACTCTGTGGTATTTTGCCTTTTGGCAGCGTCTTCATCGAACTCTTCTTCATCTTCAATGTAAGTTCCCGGCCACTGTTCCCTTTTTCATGCCCCTGAATTTGTCAACATACTATTACTGTATTCATCCAGACCCATTACTTAGTCGCATTTCCGACCCCGATGGTTTTGCTTAATTCTGAGCTGTCAATCAGACAACACCTGCCCAGCGTGTGGTGCTGGACTTGTTACCTTGCCAGCTCCTCGTAGCTGGTGCCTTAGGAGGGCCAAGGGCCTGCGATTTTTCCTCCTTGAGGATGGCAACTTGAGACTCGAACCAGAGCCACGACGATCCAGGCTGCCACTTTTGATTTAAACTGAAACAAGCAAATTAGGCTAATAAAGCGGGTCAGGTAGTGCATTGCTTCTAGACTTTAACTGATCTAGTCGGGAAGCACTACTAAAAAGAAGGGAGCGATTAAAAGTGGACACTTCTGCCTCAGCATCACCGCTCAGCCACAATCCAATTCTAGATAGAGGAGACGGGGGGGGGAGGGATGCTGAACCCTGACCAATTTGTTCATTCAACTGCATGCGCGACCACTTGAATTACTGGCATACATTCCATCGACTGCGACCGGATGTAGTCAAACTCACGAGGATGGCGCTCACGCATCTAGCTTGATTATAGGCTGGAACATGGACTTCCATTTTGAGGAAATGAAAGGGAGTACGCATGCACTCTAGGAAACACGGGCAGCTGGTAAAATTCTGAAGTGAACACCTACTGCTCTAAAATACTGCGCATATTTCAAGGCTGGTGAAGTAACTGTGCATATGATCGGGCTGAGAAAACAGATAGTAAACAGAAGTTTTTACGACAATTTTGTTCGTTGTAAGGATGACCAGGTTCGGAAAAATCCGGGCAACCTAGGTCTTTGGAGCGTCTCACTTATTTTGTTCAAGAGCATAGCACTCCGGAATCGAATCCACCCTGCGAAACCGCTTTTTAGCTTCTTCACAAACTGTTGGTCACAAAGCTTCTTGTGGCTCTCTCAATCCCATTTGAATACTAACACAAGAAAAAGTGCACGAAATACATCTCACCTCCAACTTGCTATGCCATGCTAGTCAGGCTCGCGGACTGACTGGAGATCTTTGAGTAAGCTTGTCTGAGACCTCCAAAATGGCGTGTCTTGTGTCAGTATGTAAAAGCGTGACATAGGTGTAGTTCAGTAACAACTGAAACCCCAAAAACGGGTTGCCCGAGGGGCTCCTGGCACAGTGATGAGGCCCCGACCATTTGATTGGATCGGGACACAGCCTTTGTCCATGAACTCTCCCCAGTATCGCTGCCGGCATTTGCATTTATGTCCAGTTTCCAGATCTATATGACCCTCATCCATCCAGACTCACTCCCGACCTGCGGTGCATTTTGTGGACACTTAACTCTCCACGTCTGTCAGCCTACGATCGAAAATAGAAGTGTCAGTCACCTAGCTCTCTGCCTCTTCATTTCATTTCCAGGCAATTTGGAATAAGCAGTTCTACTATCTCTTCGGCTTCCTCTTCATCGTCTTCCTCATCCTCATAGTCAGCTGCGCTCAAGTTGCAATCGTTGCTACCTACTTCCAGCTGTGCAGCGAGGTAAGTGAGGTTGAGTTTTGCTGAGACTCTCCTTAATATCGCTCGATTCCCAGTCTGCTACAGCGTACACGGTAATTGATTCTCGTGACGCTTTTTGTTTGCTCTTGCACAAGGTAGGTCGTCCTGAATTTTCTATTCAAACTGATGAGACTATTATCTACCCAAACAGCATGTGACTTGTTCAGTCAACCAGAAAAACAAAATTGCAAGTGGAAACCTTTTAGCCTCTCGGGGCATTTTATTTCCCCGGTACTCCTTTTCAACTCAACTGTTTCACTTGTGAGTCCCAATCTATTGTTTGGCGGATATTGTTAAGAACGCTCGATGTTGGGTTCTCTCTGCTGTTGAAACGACTGCAAAAGAAGAGGACATGCTAGCTGCGGAAACTTGCTCCACAGAGCTCGAACTACCCTCCTATCCTCTGCCTATTGAGATGTGTTTTCTTAATTTTTTGCACCGCATAGCGCACGAAATGGTTGCGCATTCGGCGATGAATTTTCCGTGGATTCAGCGGTCTTGTCCACTTTCAGCCTCCGTAAAACGGTGGAGTAGAACGTGGGGCAAGAAATCCTGATTACCGCGTTTTTTAAACAGAACTCCGCATTCCATAATATGCGAACTTTTGTGTCACAGTCGGCAGGGTGTGACGATCTTATTCATCCCGCGTAGTTGCAGCCCTGACTGAGCCCGGTAGCATCGATGTTAAAGTTCAGCAGACAATTTGATTGCTGCTGCTGTTGCTGGAGTGATGCCGTCACCGGGAGCCACGCATGAAATTAAGGCATTCGTTATGAGCGATTCTGCCGACCTCGTATTATTAGATTAGCGTCGTCATTATTGATTGTCTTCCATTGCAGTCAGCTAGTGGCAGGCGGCACGCCAGCCCCGCAGACCGAAGCCCTCGAGGTCGGCTCTCAGCGCCTCTTTAGTTAGCCGTCTCGCTGCCTCCGCCAACCAGGATCAGACTCGGTCAAGATGATATCCCTGATAAACTCATTCAACTCGACGGGGCCGATGGCTGGGTCATCCTTGTTGGCGTTTAACGCGCACGCACACCACTACGCGGTGTTCCTGACTGCTCATATAATTCCTCGTCGCATATGCGGTTGGAGAGACACGTCAGCCAAATAGAGCACTAGAACGAGCTATCGATTGCTTCTAAGTGGTGGATATTTTCTGAACGCGTGGACTAGAACTCAGTCCCATATAGAAGGATTACTCTGACGCCAGACTTGTATGCTCGTAGCTCGGTTTTCTGATCGATCCCACGTCATTTACAGCGGTTGCTACGGGCTCCAGTTAAGCTCATGTGTGCTTGGTTGATTTGATAGTTGTCTTTGTCTTTCTATTGCGCGTTAGACTGAAAGACCGACCAAAGTAGCAGAAACTAGCCGCTGACCGGGAGCTTCACTTTCTCCCATTACTTGGCATTTACATCCGGTCGGGAGACCTGCGGCGACCATCTTTGTCTTTTGGGGTTGCTTTTTAGGCCAACTTTGACGTTGCAGTACGCTGGATGAGTAATTTGATCTGAATGTGATTAAACTCATGGCCGCCTGGGGGTCCTCGCAACCCATGTGTTTAGGGCATTGGCTTTACTCAAGCCTTGCCCTTGCTGTCATGGATTCCAGTCCCACCGAGGCCGCCGAGGTCTTCACAATTGGGTCAAATGAATCATTGAAACCTGCCAAAAACACTTATTAGGCTGTGTTGGCAGCCATCTGGAGGATTAAACTTTGCATTTGGATAGTGTCGCAACGTTATCAGTCTAGTCCGGTCACTTGGAACACCGGTTGGAGGGGTCCGTCTGAAGAACACATGCACAGATAAGCAGATTCCGTGTGAGAACACACCAGAGGCGACATTGAATAAATTACCCTCCACGGGCTCTAGTCCTTGTTTTGCAGTAGTTGATTCCAATAAGTCGAAGTAGCACCTATAGCCTGCAAAATGCAGCCTGCTCGACAACAGGACATCACGACAGACAGTGAAACACATAAGAAAACTCCACGCGAGAAACAAAAAATGACTGTGACTAACGGTGGCGTTCTGTGAGGGTACCACGCGGCCAGCAGTGCTGGTAAGCAGATCGTGCACTGACCGAAAATCGCGATGCAAACGGAACCGATGGAGGTGGGTAACTGCGAAGACTTTTGCTCCACTGCCAAACAGACTTGTGTCAGGATAGTTCTTGGGCGATGATCTGTTCCTGCCTTTCAAAGTTTGCTACAATGACGGTTTCCGCGCCGTGATGTAGCGTTTAGCGTAAATTTGCCTCCTAGTCTTTGAAGTGCATCAAGGATTCTTAGTTAGAGTAGTAATCTTCTTTCCGTCACGAGTGCAGCGCGTCCGCTATTTCTAATAATAGCTGGGACCTGTAGGAACGAAGAGGCGTGTTAGAAGTCAGGTGTGAACAAAATGTAGGAAAAGAAGAAACCATTTTATATTTGGTGTGTCAGTTTTCCACCTGAAAATTGCCTGACTAACGGCAGATACCTGTTCCGATCGAGAGTGAGCGGGCTGCTCCCTACAGTTCATTCCGATGGCCGCCGCCGCCGTCCCGGCCTCGAAGATTATTGCGTCGACCCGTCGATCTGCATGTCAAAGTAGAGATGACAGCCTTAGAAATCACAACAGTTAGCCTGTTTTTCCCCCAAGTTACTGTTCGACGGTGTAATAATGGATGTATGGTTCGATTAGTTCGCTTTAAAAGCAAGACCTACCTAGTACAAATAGATATGTAAGTGTCTTGTTTGCGGCAATAAGCCCAAGGGGACACCATACGCTTGCTGTTTTTAACTTTATTGCCTTCCAGCAGAAAACGTCAGTGGCATTGTCTACAATTCCCATCTTGCCTTTATCTAATGTCGCTCGGAGAGTTTTTACCGGTAAATCGGCCAAAGAAGGCGTTTCTTTGCTACCTAATTTCCATGGGAGTGGTACGCCTGATCAATTCTGATTTCCGGACATATATGGAATCTCTGTTTTCCTTGGACCTCCGAGTCACGGTCCCTGCTGATGGCAGTAAACAGGCAGTGTTAGTTTGGGTGTTGGTCTCCCTTGTGTGCAAACGAATTCAATACCCTCGTTATGAAACTACTGTTACCGCTAAGCTGCCGCATCCTTAAGCTGCTCTTAATCTATGCTGTCATTGTCGGGAGTGTACAGTTTGGTGTAGGTCCGAGTAAGTCCGTGCGCTTCTCAGCATTTCAGTCAGACCTTTATGAAGTTGTTTTTCACAGTCTTTTCAGATCCTTTTTATAAAATCGACGTGCGCTCGCTCATTATTTCCCCCACTTAAAGCGTTGTTGTGGGGGGCCTTCATCGTAAGTCTTAATAGTACGGATTCCGAACTCGCTGGAGGTCATTTAAATCGAAAAAGTGACTCTTTATAATGCACTTTTTCTGGCAGTCATTTCGTTCCTAGAGGAACATAAACACAATAGCATAGTGGGTGGGCTTCTGGTCCCGATTTTCTATGATCAGCAATTGGCTCAGGAAGCTGTTGGTGTTCACCTTAGGCGCTGAATAGATTCAGCCAACTGTCTTTCGTAAACAACCCTGTTTTTACTGTTTTCCCCATTAGGACTACCACTGGTGGTGGCGTGCATTCATTTCCTCTGGCGGAGCAGCTCTTTACGTCTTCTTGTACTCGATATACTACTTTGTAACAAAGGTACGTCATGCCATTTATTAAGGTGTACGAAGTTAGTTTTTGCACTGTTCGCCTTGTTTAAATTTCACTGAAACCGCAATACGCCACTTTTTGCTCGAGCGGTTTGAGAATTTTGCAGGTTACTGCCACTTGTGTCATTTTCCTCTTCTTTACCCGCCCAATTCTGTGTACTACCTTTCTGGAGTCCAGCGACTATTCGCATGTTACAGTTGAAAAGTCAATTTGGCAAACATGTGCTTTCGGTAACTCTTCATCAGGCCAAAACGGTTACATAGAAGTTTAAATTATGCGGAGTTACAGGGCTTTTAAGGGATTCAGGGACTATTAACACCCATCGTTCCCACCCCAATCATTCTGGAGCTATTGCGTCAGTGTTACACTTACTGGCCCATTTAAAACGTTTTTGTACCAATATATTGGCGAATAATCTGCGCCATTTTAAGCCATCAGTAAGCTCATTAAGTCTATTTTTTAAGATAAGATGCAAGGACTTTGGAGTCCCTCTGTTACACATGCCCGGTGGGTAATATGGTAGCTACTCGTATGTCGACCAATACAATATCGTTATATACGTACTATTACAAAATTTGACGCCATCTCCTATTCGACTCACGGTTTGTCATGGTTATCTTACTTTGCGGAGTTTCGGGGCGCAGTCTTCGACCTACTCATCAGCCATCAAGAAGTTTTTTTGCGTATAGGACGCAGGAGTCATTCCAGAGTTTGTGCTGTGCCGAATTTTTGGCATTTTATCAGCTCGTTGATCCCTTGTCCAGGCCAACGATGCATTCTTTGCGAAGGAGACTAGACCTACATGACAAGAACTTTATTTGCCTGACTTTGCTTATTCTCGCTCTAACCCATTATCAGAAAGACTGCAAGAGATTAAAGTCATCTGTTTTAAGCAAACCGGATTTTTCTGACACGCATCAAGGCGACTCAGTTGGCAGACAAGACATAAACAGTGGCGTGCGTCCGTTCATGATAGAATTCGGCTCTCGGTTACACGCGACCACTTGTTCGGTCGTGAAACCGTCCGTGGTGTTACACCGAAGAGCGAGGAGTATTTGCCGGAGGGAGGCCTAACCAGAAGAACCCTCCAAACCTAAATCTGTTTTGACTCAGCATTGCTTCTTGTTCAGTCTCGGGATCTTGTGTTTCTTGAGCTATGTAGGCTTTTTTCTCACAAATATGTGTTTTTTTTCTCTAGCTGGAGATAACCAGTTTCGTTTCGTCCATAATATACTTCTCCTACTGCCTCATGATGTCTGTCTCCTTCTGGATACTGACGGGAACTATCGGCTTCTTCGCTGCTCTCACTTTCCTCCGCAAGATTTATGCAGCCATCAAGATTGATTGAGGGCCGAGAGGACCTGCGTGTGCACGTTAGGATTTCAGTCTTCACTCTATTAACATATTGCTGCCACA